TTTAGCTATTTAACTAATATTTATGGTAGGGATCTAATGATGTAGCTCGGAGATTAGACCTGCTAGTGCTCACAGAGTACTGGCCAGAATTTAGTGAAACTTACACGCAAGGATCAAGGTCAAGGTCATTCTGCTTGTCACAAAAATCACTCCTCCTGAGTAATGCTCAGCTTGTAGTTTCCCGCGTGTGACTGTTTGCAATCCTCCTTGACTTTTTAGTAGATTTGAATTTTCATTAGTTTATAAAATACCGCCAACCAATGACTGCGAAGCCTATTACTTTCTTTCTGTACCTCACACATTATAATGACCTGTGAATTGTGATGATCATGAGTCGGACGAGCTACTACATCAGTGACGTTCTGGTTTAATCATTTATTCATTACTCATAGAGGGTAAGATTTCCTTTATTCATCCCTGTAGGGAAGCTAGTTCTCCTCTTGTAACCCATCCTTATATTAGTAGTAGTTGCCAGCCACCGTGCCTTGTTTGAGAGCACATGACAGGAGAAAAAGTCCTCTATGTTTTTTTGATGCTAGGGGAAACTGGAGCTCCTGGAGCTATGCATTTTACTATTTCACTGTTTATATATTACATTCAGCTAACTATTTTAAGATTGCTCGAGCAGCTTGACAGTCTTTACGTAACCGTGGTTGCTGCAGAAACACCTGTGTCCCCTGGATGGCAATTACTGATCTCAATATATCACCTTATGAATGTGAACTGATCTTCAAATGGCATCTAGAATAATTTAGTGAAATTAGACTCTTGCATGTGTGTGAGTGTGTGTGTGTGTGTACCTTTTTCCAGGGCTTAATCAAGGCCAAATGTGAGCGTTTTTATTCAAAATTATGCTCCCTGACCTGCGGAAAATAGGCTGAAGCTTTAGATGAATTAGTACGGCAGTGCAGTCATGAAGTGCCACACGCTGCAGTTTGTCATTGCAGGGCTGCTTATTTATGTGACTCTAATGGAGCCGCTAGTAACTACAGAGGCTTTCGCTAGATTTTTTTAAAAGCCATAGAATCAAAGCCAAAGAAATAAATCAACCCAGAACAATACAGATGCAATTTCTGTCACGGCCCACTCAGAAAATATATCTACCTTCAGTTTAAAACTACATTAGCTAATGTATTTTCTTTTTATTGCACAGCCTATTTATAATACCTCAACTTCTTGTATTATCTGTGTACTTTTGAAATTTTGCTCGCTTAAGCTGATGATGATTTTTCTAGAGTGACTTTGGAGGACACAGGCGAGATCCAGAGAGGAAGCGATGGCATGAGAGAAGTGGTTTTTGCACTCTGGATGCTGCATATTTTATGTTTTCCGCGGCCTCTGGATGAAAGAATGTGCGATGAGACGGTCTTAGTAGTTACGTAAATAATAAGAGGAATCAAATGAGTCTCACGAGTGTCTGCGTTTACACAGTTAAGAGGAGTTCAAAGATCACACTTTGTCTCATGCTTCTTGCATGAAGTCAGTTTGTTTGCCCAGCGCTCCTTAGGATGAGAACGTTTGTGGCGATGAATGCTTCACACCAGGCCAGCTGGATCTAAAAATGAAATCATCTATAAAACAACACAGAAAAGAGAGATCAACTATTTAAACCTCTAATGTGTCTGAGCTGATACTTGAGCGTGTGTGTCAGAGAGCAAAGAGTCTCCATCACTGAGC